TGTGTGTGTGTGTGTGTGTGTGTGTGTGTGTGTGTGTGTGTGTGTGTTGCAGGTATGCGTGCAGTCTGGTGTACTACGGTCTGACTCTGGGAGCCGGTGACACGTCTGGAAGCCGTTATGTCAACGTAGCCATGTACGGCCTGGTGGAGCTGCCCGCCTACCCGCTCTGCATGTACTTCATCAACAAACACTGGTGAGACAAACACACACACAATAATACACATTATTTAGCTCACTGACCCTGTGTACACAGCTCAAAGTCGATCTTCCTGTCTGGAGACGTTGATTTATGAACAGTATTTGATGTTTTGTGACCCTTTAGTCGCAGTGTTCTTTGCCCAATAGTGTTGCAATATCAGAATCTGTGTATTAGCTAATGAAGAACTACTTCCTGCTTCATTTAACCAGCATTAGACTTCATGTCCGTTAATTATTAACTTCTTCTTCTTCTACTTAAATTGCTGATTTGTACATGTAGATATTTCCATCAGTTCGACTACTTTTTGTCAACTGTGTCTCTCTGTTTGACTTAAGACGTTGAAAGCTTGAGGTACATAATGTCGAGAAGTGTCCTGTTTAAAGCGTCCACCGATGAGTCATTGTGTGTCTTGTCTTTCAGGGCTGGGAGGAGGAAAAGCATGGCCAGTTTCCTGTGTCTGGCTGGCACTTCCTGCTTCTGCACCATGTTCATCCCCGAAAACACAGGTGAGAGGGTGACGCCCACTTATACAGAGGAACACACTTCTGAATGCAACTGATCTTAAATGTGTGAGGAAACAAACTCAACAGGTCCTGAATATTTAAAAAGGCGTTGAAATGTTTTGAAGTAATGCTCTTATCTAGAGTGACAGGAATGAATATAACATTAGATTAAAGGTGGTGTATACACGATTGGAAGGATTTCGATCGCCTTTCAACCGGTGGCTAGCAGCTAACGGTGCTAACAGTGATCCGTTTGTGTCTGCAGGGACCTTGCTGAGCGTTACGTTGTTTGCGCTTCTGGGGAAACTGTTGGTGAGTGCAGCGTTCAACATCGCCTACGTCTACACCTCTGAACTCTACCCAACAGTTATCAGGTGAGCTAACAGTGCAGACTGCATGTTGAATTATTCACAGACATCACATTTAATGATTTATTTTTTTGTTTCAGAAATGCTGGTTTGGGGGTTTGTTCCATGTCGTGCAGAGTTGGAGGAATCCTTGCTCCCTTTGTTCCTTCCATGGTGAGGGCAGTTCTGTTCATGCAGTTGTACCTCCTCTTTCTAGATAAATGCACTTTATGTAATTGTCTTTCGCTTTGGGTTTCACAATCAAAACGATTACGAAATACAGAGTTTGGTGACATTGTGCAGGTCTCCTCTTCTCCACAACAAACGAGTGATTTAAACCAGTAAAATACATAGTTAGAAACAACCAAGCTCTAAAATGTGTGAGTAGATAATATAACATTCACTTTGACAGGACTGTTGACTTTGTAACACAGAGTGAAATATATTATATTATTAGATTTAAACTCGGGTAACTCATGTGAGCAGCAGGTGTAACTTTAACCTGAAGATATAGTGACACCTAGTGGTGGTTTAGGTGACTTCAACAAGGCTCATAAACAGTCATTTGTTATTTTAATACATTTTAGTGGATTTACAAAAACAATCTTGTAATATAGGTTATTGTACAGAACATTTGTATTAACTCTGTCCTCAGGAGACACATACAGACTTTATTTTTCTGATTTCATTGTGTGCGTGTGTGTGTTGCAGCGGGCTCTCCACACCTCCATGCCTTTCACTGTGTTCTGTCTGAGCGGTCTGTCTGCAGGCTGCCTCGGCCTCCTGCTGCCTGAAACCCTCAACGGACCTTCAGCAGAGACTCTGGAGGAGCTCAGCAGCCCGAACCACAACCGAGTGCTGGAGAGCAAGGTGTGTGTGTGTGTGTGTGTGTGTGTGTGTGTGTGTGTGTGTGTGTG